TTTAATTTTTATTTATTTTTTTAAGTTATATTTAATATCAGACTTTTTTCCTCTTTTTCTCTTTTTTCCCCTTTTTTCTAACCTCTAGGTAGAGGTCAGATAGAGGTCTCTATTTAAATAAATGTGACCTAACCATTTTTATGGGTTTAAATGACACAAGATTACCGTATTATACAAAGGGTTCTGCTGACTTTACAAATAATTACCATTTATCGATTGACAATTAGACATATTTCAGCCAACTTAATGACAATGAGCCATTCTTTTCAATGACAAATATAAACCTTTGAAGATATCAAGACAAATGCTTTTCAGTGAGTCACAACTTAAGGCAACTTACACCAATTATTCATTGATTAGTTTTAATGCTTACATGAAACAACACTTTATGGTGTCATTCATAAAGCACACTTGCATAAATTAGTCAACATAGAACATTTAGTCAGTAGTTTCGCTGGATCATGGTACTGTATGTCATTGTACTTCTATAATAATCATGTAGGTGTGCTGTTGTAGAATGGAGGCCTTGGATGTGTAAGAGTTGAGGGAGCTGTCTAAATGTGTGCACAATAGAACAGACACTTACTGACGCTGCTCTGCCAAATTCCTTTCCGCCCAACCCAACCCTTCTTCCACCCCCCTGCACACAAACACCATATTACAACATGCTCCAAACGTCCTGACTTTTACACAGTTTAGGAGAGGGGTTCCAAAAACTGAGCTCTGAAAACCTGAAATACAACCTCTTTGGACATAACAATACCTGCCTTTGTGCATTGTTAGTTTCTGGAGGTTAAATTGTTAAATTCTGTCTCTCAGTGTGTTTTCAGCTTTAAGTGCTTGACAGATTTTTAGAAAATGTGGCCTGAAAGGTTGAAAACAATAATAATTAATTTAAAACAAATACCAATTACAGTTTTTTTCCCATCGTTTCACCACAAATTTCAGAACCCTGCTGTCAATTTTCAAAACTCTAAACTCAAAATTTATAACCATTGCCAAAATTGCACATTATTGCAAAACTCTTCATTTTTCAAATGCTTGGATACAATACACACAAGTCAAAGATACTTTGTTCATTAAAATCACCTCCATATAATACAGTTAAACAGCAAATTGATCCCGTTTCAAAATGCAACTCAAACATTACATTTGAAATAACTGGAAATTTATTTTAATGATGTAACTATTATCTGATATAAGCACTCAAAAGAATAAATAATAGTTGCACTATTTTTGATGCATGGAAACTGATGTGAAACATTACAAGTTTGGATGATGAAAGTCTCAGGATAAATCAAATGACATCAGTTACCACAGAAGATGACCCAACTGGACAACATTACCTATAGATTTCATTCTTATTCCATATACAATTAAAGTCAGAGTTATAAGCCCCCCTGAATTATTAGCCCCCTTGTTTATTTTTTCCCCGATTTCTGTTTAATGGAGAGAAGATGTTTTTCAACACATTTCTAAACATAATAGTTTTAATAACTCATTTCTAATAACTGATTTATTTCATATCTGCCATGATGACAGTAAATAACATTTGACTAGATATTTTTCAAGACACTTCTATACAGCTTAAAGTGACATTTAAAGGCTTAAGGTTGATGAGGTTAACTAGACAGGTTAGGGTAATGAGACAAGTTATTGTATAACAATGGTTTGTTCTTTGGTGGATGGATGGATGGATGGATGGATGGATGGATGGATGGATGGATGGATGGATGGATGGATAAATATAGCATAAAAAGGATAGCAAAACTAAAATTATATGTTTTTCTTTCTATTTATTTAATCAAGAAAACCTCAGAAAGACAGACGGTTTAAAATTCAATCCATTTGATACTGCAACATTTTTCCAGCCTCATAAATAATTTTGTAAGGATGTTTCAGTATTATTTATAATGCATTGACATCTTATTCAACAGGCTATGGTATGATTTTAATCAAGATTATTGTCGAAGAAGGTCATAACCTCTGAGTTGCAAGCCTACAGCTTTCTTTTTTGTGCTAAGTTAATTTTATGGCCTTATAATGTCTCTTGTTTAGTTTTAGTTATTCCTTATTTGAGCCTTGAATGTTTTAAAACCAAAGCGAGAGTGCTTAATAGTGTCATTATTTGAACACAGACCTTGTTTTATGGCCTTTACATAGCGCTCATTTGCTCGGTTTATGTAGCTTTTCATTTACTCAGTCTGAGTCACTCTCTTGTCAGTGTTTTGTGAGGTTGCTTCAAGTGAAGCATATCTTATCTTATCTTGCAGTAGTCCTCATTTTTGGCTAATTTCACACCCTGTCTCCTCAAATTCCTTCCAGCAAATCAGTATTCTGTGAGTCTTTAGGTCATTGAGTCTCATCATTTCACTTTTACAGACTGCATGCACCACAAATGCCAGATGTTTTGAAGAATGTTGGAGACCGGTAATCACTGACTTTAATAGTATTTTTATGGATGTCAATGCTACCAGTGCCCAACATTCTTTAAAATATCTTCTTTTATCTTTATCAGAAAAAAAAAACTGGTAAACGTTTCAAATTATTTGAGGGTAAATACGTTAAATAATAAGTAAATTTTTCTATACTCCACAGCATACAATAAAAAAAAAAAGGGAAAAAATAGGCTGATTAAAGACATTTTAATTCAGAATAATATAAAAATGTAAAATAAAAGAAAGAAAGAAAGAAAAAAAAGAAAGAAAGAAAGAAAGAAAGAACCTTTAATGAACTTTGTGTACTGAATCAGCAGCAACAATATATAAAAGGATATAAAAATGTTTGATCATTATTTTATCAATTCAATCCTTTTTTTCATCCATGTTGACATCTCTTGCAGTTTAAAAAATATTAAAGCGTGGGGTGGACATGAGCAGGATTTTTAAAGTGGCACGTCCACCCCTGTCCCCGCGAGAATTTACATCTTTGTGTAATTTTAACAATGTAGTATGTAATTTTCACCACAAGATGGCGCATATTCACAAGAAACAAAGCTGTAGTTTAATGAGACGCGACTGAGTATGAAATCATTACATACAAAAGATGAGCTAAAGTATTCAAAACGTATTATTATAATAAAGTTGTTTTTGTGATTGTGTGATTGCCGTGACCCACAGTACATGTCCTATGTTCAATTCAATTCAATTCAATTCAGCTTTATTTGTATAGCGCTTTTACAATGTAGATTGTGTCAAAGCAGCTTCACATAAATGGTCATAGTAATTGGAACAGTGTGGTTCAGGTTTTAGTGTTTAAGTTCAGTTCAGTTCAGTTTAGCTCAGTTCAGTGTGATTTAATCATTACTGAGAGTTCAAACACTATAGAGCAATTCATCGATGCGTAGCTCTACCAATCCTGAACCATGCAAGGCAGTGGCGACAGCGGAGAGGGAAAAAAAACTTCACCTGATGGGAGTGAAGAAAAAAAACCTTGAGGGAACCAGACTCAGTTGGGCACGACCATTTTAATTTCTCCGCTGGCCAAAAGTCTTGTGCAGAGCTTCATTCGCCGTGGTTTAGGCAGGAAGATGGCCTCAGCGAAGACTCGTCTGTCCCTGGAGCGTCGCTGGAATCAGACTCATGTTCTCAACTCCTCACGACCATCAGCGCAGCAGCAGCTCAGGATATGGCCTGGTCCCGGATATGGAATCCTTGTGTATTTGTATTTATATTTCTGCGTGCTGTTTGTGTTGCTCTGCAATAACACTTCCGAAATGCTAGCTGGCAGTAGGTTATGTTATGTTCCTCTGAGCTGAGTTTCTTTGCGGGTGTTTTATTTATTTCTGAATGCTACCTTAATGAAAAAGTAGCTAAAACTCCGTCATTCAGAGGCAGGAACCAGTGGATGTGCAGCAACTTTAATCATAAAGGAAAACACGAAACAAAAGTTTCCATTTGGAGCTCCTTCAATGGACTCAACACTTGTAAACACTCGCCCCTTCAGGGTCACACCCACACTCAATCACAGAACCACGGTGAGGGCTATGCGACCACGCGAAGGCTGACCATACGTGTGCGCTTGAAGCAGAAGTATAAATCAGCCTTTAATGAAAAATCGTAATGAGACTGCTGAAGCACGACCGCTGTTGCATAATAAAAACAGCCAAACTTTTATTATGCCACAGTTGACTTTTAATTTCTTCCAGCAGGGATTACTCTAGTTAGAAACTGTGCTGTTTTATCGTACTAAAATACATTTTAAGACTCTGTTATAATGCTGATCTGTGCAAGTGTAATACAACATATTCTATTTGGTTTTCTCTAAAAACAAACCAGATATTGAAGATGTTTAAAAACTGCTAATAATTCTTTGGATTTGAACGTTCTTTCAAAGATTCAGTTATTCATTTTCTTTTCGGCTTAGTCCCTTTATTAACCCAGGGTCGTCAACATGCAAACTCCACACAGAAACAATAACCAACCCAGCCGAGGCTCGAACCAGCGACCTTTATGCTGTGAGGTGACAGCACTACTGCGCCACTGCGTCACCTCTTTGAAAGATTAGTAATAACAAACATAAGTAAACAAAAATAAATAAATAAATAACACTGTTCTATTGGCTTTTGGATGATTTGATAAGAATTTTTTTAGGGATGTCCAGATCTAATCACGTGTTTGGTTCCAATTAAACTGACTGTGGCTGTGTCCAATTAAACTGACAAGTTTTTATTAAACTGACTGTGGCTGTGTCCAATTAAACAGACAAGTTTTATTGTCTGTTTAATAATCTTAAAGTCAATGAAACACTTCAGCAAAACTAAAAGAATAATAATAATAATAATCAAATGATTTCTGAGAATGTGTAAAAGGAATGATGACTGTCTGTACACTCATGAGCTCCTCCTGCACTCCACCCCAAAAATTGAGATTAATTGCGTCATGCATTAATCATGTCTAGAAAGTCAAATGGCACAACAGGTGAAAGTCTGCTCTGTTAAAGAATAACTACAGTCACACACAGAGTCAGAGGGAGTTTCAAGTACCAGTGTGTGTGTCTGCGGGGTGGAGTCTAAACCTCCCAAGGCTTCCCGAGCTCAGGAAGTCCAAGACAAAGCATTAGTTTAACCTGTTTTCTGTACTCAAGACTCCAATTCAACATTGATATATAAAGTCAGAGGCTGAAGCTCGGCCACGCCCGTACTGTAGACTTCAATGGCATGAGAACTCCACCGCGCCCAGAAGGACTTTATCCGAGCCCGACTGTCAGATACACTCAGTTTATGGTGGAGACCGGACACATCCAACTACTGCAGATCACATACCCACACACACACTCTCGCTTCAGGATGTATGAACGCGCGCACTTCGCTGCCTGTCTGCTTGCTTTGGTGAGTGTACTTTTGGAAGTTAAAGTTACTGTTGTTGTTGTTTTTTTGTCGCTTGTTGGTTATTTTAGGCCTATAACGTTACTTGAATTCTTATCGTGCTCTTACTGAAGTGTCTTGGTAACTTTAGTTTCCGTTAATATGCAAGTTATGTTGTTATTGGCGTGGTGAATTTGTCTTTATTGATCTCAAAATATGTTAACACTCGACAAAGTTTATATGCTTACTTGAGGATCAAAATTAATATTATTATTTTTATCTGGGAGAGAAAACCGTTTGTAAATAAATGCATTTTAATTTTGCAACCAAAATTATAGAGTATACGCTTATGACTTCTTCTGCTCTCATAATTATTCATTGTTTTATATTTATTTAGTTAGTAATGTTGACTAGTAATGATAGTTCTTTTGGTTAATTTCATGTGATCATATTTTATTATAGTCTATAACTGCATTCTATGGTAATTTAGTTGAAGTTTTCATGGTTTATTGTACGTACATATTCAGTGATGGGAAGACATTATAAATATATATTTCCCTTTCAAAATATACAAACACCTTTAAAACAAGTACCTGATTAAAATGTTTGTTTTTTATGTGAATGTCACACAATTTTAACTTCATGAAATGCACAAACTCATTGTGTAACATTAACTACTTCAGTCAGAAGTTGTTGCTATGTTTTATAGCATTAAGTTACTTGTCAGAAGTTGTTGTTACAATTTGTATCTTTATTTTTTTTAGTTTTAAACAATCACCTTGGCATATTTGCTGTAAAACAAATACTGTCAGAATAGCAGTGGTGGTCATATTTTACTGCAGTCAGTCAATGTAGTCCTGTGATAATTTGGTTGTCGCCATTGTTACATGAGATTTATTTTTACTTTTCTGCTTATAATAAGATAATAATTATATATGTGTTTTACTACTTTGGTTATTATAGGTGGGTTATTATACAGTTATGCAATATTGATTACAAAAGGTTGAAACTACTAAGATTTACAGTATGGAATAACTGTAAAAAAAATGTTTACTTATGTAGCATTATTCAGAGTGAAATTGATAATATAAATCAATAGATACAATTGGTTTGTAAAACTCAATAATGGCTATTTATTCGTTAATTTTTTCATTCATTCATTTTTTCATTCATTTTTTCATTCATTCATTCATTCATTCATTCATTCATTCATTCATTCATACATGAGAATGACAACACTATTTTTTTTTTTTTTTTTTTGTGCAAAAAAGTCACTGTACCTATAATTTGTGTGAAAAGGAACAAAAGTTGTTGGTATCATACCGCCCTGAAACTGCAGTCAAACCTATTATTAATATGTTTTTTACAGTCTCACAAAAATAGGGTGAAACACATATTTTCAATGAACCTGTGTTGCAACATTTTCTTACTTTCCTTTAGGGAAACATCTAAAACCATTTATTTAACTCCCATTTTTTGGCATGTGTGACTCTTTGATCCATATCAGATTTATGAAGACACAAATTACATTGACACCAATATTCAACAGAAGTACAGAACAATACATTTTCACTTATTTTCAAGTCAGCCTACAGGTTCTGCTGGACAGATTAGCTTAGTTTGGAGATAAGATGACGCTGATATGAGTACCTAAACCAAAACCCATCACATCAGACAGTGAAATGAGACACAATCCCAATTAGCTGTTTCTTTGTTTATGTTTCGTTGAGACTATAGCTTTATTCTCATTTATTAGTTATGTTTGTATTAGTCACATGTCTTTATTTACTGATGCCAGTGATTGTTTCAGTTATTATGGTTTGTTTGCCACACCTCAACAATAGGATTCTTTCATAGCGTTTAGCTGCTTAGGTATTAATGAATAACAAGCAAGAGGCATAAAAATAAGTATAACATTATAATATCACTTGGACTAAGAAAAATTATGTATGTGGGTAAAAGACTAGATGTCTTATTTGCTGTAAACTTCAAATTAAATACAAAAAAAATATTATACATAAATAATGTACTTTAAATGTTTTAAATAACATAAAAATACACAACTACAACATCATACTTATTCTAAACTGAGCTACTTAAAATGTATACAATTATAACAAATCATGCTGAAATTAATTACATTTTAAATTATTAAAATATATTACTGATTATTTATTATTAATTAAAATTATTAAACATTACTGACAAATGTGTAAAATCAAGTGGTTAAAAGGACAGCGAGAAAGTAAAGTAAAGGTTTAAAATGACAATTCGCTGACAGTGTGGAGCATAAATCACAAAATTTCCTCTTACAAAATCATTTTTTTTTTACCTAAAGACTTTATTGTTAAGAATACAGTGTTGTATATAATCTGGCAAGTTACATATGGACGTAGGCCTCTGTAAAAACCTCTGTCTTTATACCTCTCAAAATATGTGAACACTCGAAAAATAGTATGCATTTAGGGTTACTTCAGGGTTAAACTTATTATTTATATTATTTGAGAGAGAATGCCGTTCATAAATTAATATATTTTATTACTGGCAAAATGTATATGGACATATCCCTCTGTAAAAACCTTCATTATATAACCATAAATTAATAAAACTGTGTAGTTTGTTGTATGCACAGTAATAAATGCTGAAGTGGAGATTTATATGTTTTTAAATTTTATTTTTTAGAGAAAGCAGAAAAACAGAGCAAACTGAAAAGTCTAATAGCAGAAAATGTAGTTTGGCCTGCGTTGTTTTGCCTTCATTCATATTATTCATAAGCACATGCTAATAATTACATTACTAACATGTGCTCCATTACCAACAGGTTGTTTTGCTTAATCACACTGAAGAATGTGTTTATGTGAAACTTTGTCTCCCTCTCCTCAGGTGTTGTTTCAGAGGGCTGAGTCTTGTGACCCGAGGCCTGTGCTTGTGCAGGTTCCCAATACGGTGCCCGCAGGTTATTTCATCACTCAAGGTGCGGAAGAATGTTTGGTTTGTGATTTCACTGAGCCTTTTCCTCCCAATGGCAGGAAGCGACGTTCTGACTTTATGCAGACTAAGCATTTCCTTCAATTTATTTAGTTACCTAAAGGGGGATAGTGCACTTCCAGAAAGATTGGAGACCATTAACTTGAATATTATGTTTTTTTTTCTACTATGGAAGTAGCTGTGGGCGACACAGTGGCTCAGTGGTTAGCACTGTCACCTCACAGCAAGAAGGTCGCTGGTTCAAATCCCGGCTGGACCAGTTGGCATTTCTGTGTGTAGTTATGTTCTCCACGTGTTTGCGTGGGTTTCCTCAGGGTTCTCCGCTTTCCCCCTATCGTCCAAAGACATGTGCTATATATATACAGTGGGTGAATTGAATAAAATAAAATGGCCGTAGTATGGATGCGTCCCAGTACTGGATTGCAGCTGGAAAGGCATCCGCTGTGTAAAATATATGCTGGATAAGATGGCAGTTCATTCCGCTGTGGCAAGCCCTGATTAATGAAGGGATTAAGCCAAAGGAAAATGAATGAAGTAGCTGTTTTTTTTTTAACTCTTTATTTTCATTTTGAATATTGAAAAAACTTTCATACATTACATACAGTACTGCCTGAGTTCTTACAAAGAAATATACCATCAAAATTATTTTGGTAGTACTTACAGTGAATTCAACTTACTACAAAAAGGAACGCAAAACCCTACCACCCACCCCACCCATTTGACATTAATCAAAATATTTGTGGAAGGTTCATAAAAATAAAAGGCATATATGCATAACATTTACAATCATATATAGATCTGGCTGGGACAAAAATTTAAAATTGAGGCAAGGCGTACATGGACAATGAAACCAAAAGAGACATTATTAAAAAATTATAAAATAAATAATGAAATAAGATAAATAGATAAATTAAAATACAACAGTCTTGTAAGTCTATCAGTTCAGTCTATCTGCAAAAATAATATGAATGGTTCCCAAATCTTGTTTAAAATGGACAATTTGTCATTTAGTATGAATCTCAGTTCTTCTAAGTGTAACATATTTCCAAGTTCTCTAGCCCACATTTCAAAGGTGGGGACAGCATCAGATTTCCACATTTGTAAAATGAGTTTTTTTGCAAGACACATACAAAATAGAATTGCTTGTGTTTGGTTTCTACTGCAAGGACTGTACTCTGCTCCTAAAAGTCCAATACTAGGATCCATTTCCAGATTTGTTGAGTACACTTCAGAAAGAAATTTAAATATATTTTTCCAAAATGGTTGTAGTGAAGTAGCTGTTTGCGGGCAAATTTTATTGATATTATGAATAGAGCAAGAAGATATTTTGAAGAATGTGGGGATTTAAACTGTTTCTGGTCCCTGTTGACTTTCATAGTATCTATGTAAATGGAATCCTAAGCACTTTTTAAAAAATAAATTATTTTGTGTTGTCGAATAGAAAAAAAAAACATCAAAATGTATTTGTTTTGAAAAATACTTTCAGGCTTGTTTAACTAATGGTCAAATACATTTGTCTTTTTTACTCACATTCTTATTATTTGGGCACTATGAGTTTCTTTCCTCAGACAACACAAAATGGCCTTCAGATAAACACAAGCAGCATAAATATATAACAAAAGTTGCATGGAAATGAAAAGTCTATCAAAGATGATCAGTGAAAAACAGCTGAATTATATTTCTTGAGAAGGTTAAAATGGTACATTTGGTATTGTAGCAGCATTTTGCTTCAAACTGCTATCTCAGTAAGGGCTGACAAGGAGTGAGTCTGTTGTGAAACCTTTTTCATTATTAATTTTTATCACAACTTGACCCATCAAATCAGTTAAATAGCTTCAATTGCTAATCAGTAGCACCAGTCACCACATACGTACAAACCCACATTGGCTGAAAATTGTTTCATTTTCCTTTACTTGCCTCACTTACTACCTTAGCTGCCTTAAATCTTGATTTGCATTGAGAAAATAAAAGTCTTAATTTGCAAAATCAAAACAATAAAGCAAATGCTCAACATGAATAAAATACCAAAAAATTATCAAACGCAAGCTTAATAATAATCAAACCATCAAATTAACGTATTCAGTCCAAACATAATTAAGCAAAAAGTAATGGCTCTTTATTATGCTATTCATTGCTATTTTGCTATTTTATATATGTATTTTAGTTTTACCTTAATTTATGAAAATGAAACATATTTTAAGAAGCATTTCTAATAAAAAAAATTCCATATAAAATTTACCACCTTTTATTTAATTTTAGCCTCATTTAAAAAATGAATGAATAAGAAAGATTTTATTTTAAGGCAGATTATTTATTTGAACTTTATCTTAAAAGACAAAAATAGAACAAAATAGTCCTTAATAAATTAAGTTGAGATTAAAAATAAAGGCATTTATGGTCTCTGACAGCATTATCACCTATTTGCTAATAACAAGGTGATTATTTTTAAACTAATCACACTCTGCGGAATAATAACCTGGCCTTACTGTATTTTTCACAGTGACTCTCAATGGCTGTACGGCCATACCTGTGTCCTTCACATCCAGCGACCCTGACTTCACTGTAAATACAGATGGAAGCATTGTTACACTTCGCTCTTTGGTGATCTCAACAAAGAGGTTCTCTGTTCTGGTGCAGGACAACAGCGGCCTTGACTGGAGGGTGGAGATTATCTTGTCTTGTAAAAATGAGGTAAAACTACAACCTGCCTACAACCTGGCAACTCTAAACGATCTACCATAGATCAGCAGCATGAGAGATGTTTCTCTATGTTCTCTTTAGGATTCTCAAAAGTCGGGCAGTGTGGCTCAGAAGCGTGCTAAGAGGAGATGGAGACCGTTGCCTTTCAGCGTTGTTGAGAATGCCAGTCCTCCTTTTCCAAAGGACGTCGAGATGGTGAGAAAGTAAAATAAATTGGTCTAAAGTGACCATGCTAGTGTGTGCCAGGACCAAATGTGTTTGCACCGTAATTTCTGGAGCTTGATTGGGAATCATACTGGAGAGCTGAACAGTTTATTTGGTTATTTCAGTTATTTGAGTCACAAGACCATCATCGCAACTGCTAAGTTCATGTTTTCTTATCAGTCAAGCAGCTAGCATAAACATTTAAAACAGTTCAAGTATTTAAAACGAGTTCTGTGGAATGAAATTTGTTTCAGTATTTCACAAACAAATATAGCATTTTTTTTAAACAAACACAATCTGCTTTGCAGAGTCACTCGACTCGCAAACAAAAAGAAAGCACTTTGTCTGTTGACCAAAAACCCAAAGGTGTTAGCAAATGAACATATTGCATTTACATGTATAATTGAATTTATTCAGTGATGCACTGGCGCAGTAGGTAGTGCTGTCGCCTCACAGCAAGAAGGTCGCTGGTTCAAGCCTCGGCTGGATCAGTTCGGTTTCTGTGTGGAGTTTACATGTTCTCCCTGTATTCGCGTGGGTTTCCTCCAGATGTCCAAAAGACCAAAGTCCAAAGACATGCGCTTCAGGTGAAATGGGTAAGCTAAATTCTCCATAGTGTATGGGTGTGAGTGAGTGTGTATGGATGTTTCCCAGAGATGGGTTGCAGCTCGAAGGCCATCCGCTGCGTAAAACATATGCTGGTAAAGTCGGCAGTTCATTTCGCTGTGGCGACCGCGGATTAATAAAAGGACTAAGCCAAAAAGAAAATGAATGAATGAATGAATGAATGAATATAATTTATTCATTCATTTTTCTTCAGCTTTGTTCCTTCATTCATCTGGGGTCCCCAGCGGAATAAGCCACCAACTTCTCCAGCATATGTGTTACACAATGGCTGCCCTTCCAGCTGCAACCCAGCACTGGGAAACATCCATGCACACTCATTCACACTCATACGTACACTACGGCCAGTTTAGTTTATTCAATTTACCTATACCCGCATGTCTTTGGACTGTGGAGGAAACCCACGCCAACATGGGGAGAACATGCAAACTCCACACAAAAATGCCAACTGACCCTGCCGGGCTCGAGTGGTCTGAAGATCCTACAATGTCTACAATGTAATGCCTTACATTTTTTAGTTGAATCAAATTACCTTTTTTTTTCATCTTTTCCTCAATCAAACTGGAAAAAAATAAGTTAAACTTCCCTGTAGGAACAGGACGTCAACATGACGTCACATTGACGTTGTACCCCAACGTACCCCAACGTTGTGGGGACATTGGATTTTGTTTAGGAATGAAATAAGGGTTGACGTCAGTAGCCAACGTCAGGCGGATGCCAATGTCCAACCTAAAACATGACATCCATCAGACGTTGGATTTTGGTCAATTTTGCAACACAACTGACAGTCAACCAAATACCAATGTAAATTGACGTTGTTATTGGACGTCATAATAAGGTTGTCCTTAGACGTTGACTAGACAATTTTGGTCACCTGATGTCATGACCTTAATCTAACCTACAGTAATATTAATGTCTTATGATGTTTTGTGCCTGCTGGATTTGCATAAACCTGATGAACTTATTCAAATAAGTTACAGCAACATAAAAAACATTTGTTGACTTGACTTTTTTATTATATTTTTTAAAGTGTAGCCATTTCAATGCATCTTCAAAGGGCTCTACATGATCCCAGCCAAGGAATAAATTAGGATATTATATTTATATTTATATTTTATGTTCTTAAAAATACATAATTTTAAATACAAAATCTGGCATCCCAGAGCTAGTTCCAGACAAGCATTTGTGGTTAAAAAGTACATACATGAAAAAATTGTTTCACTAAGCAATTTTAAAGTAATTCGAAGCTGCACTGATATTGCATTTTATTTTGTATTGTATTGTATAAGTTCAATCCACTGAACACCATGTTAGTCCACTCTATGGACAAAGATATGTAGGGCTCTATCATACACCCGGCGCAATGTGGCGCAAGGCCCGGCGCAATAGTTTTTTGCTACTTTAAGCTCGGCGCAAGAGTCATTTTGAGGTGTTGCACCACACTGTTTAAATAGCAAATGAATTTGCGCTCAAATGTGCACCCATAGGCGTTCTGGTCCATAAAAGGAGGTGTGTTTTGGAGCGTTGCTATTTTGAGAAACTGTAAATAGTCTGTTCTTTAGACCAGAACAAAGTCGGTCTATTGTCTGGTGCAAAGTGCGCCTGGCTTACACACTACACACAAGATGTAGAGCAATACGCAAATATCCTTACATATGAAAAAGGTATAATATATTAGGATATATATAATAAGGATATATATATAGGATATAAATATAAATGATTAAAATATTACAAAACATATTAATTTCTAGCCTACATGAATTTTAAAACCACTGCCTTACTTTCTTCATCTCGGGAGGCTTTTTCAGTTCATTCAATTTGCTTTTGTATAATGTTATTATTATTAGCAGTATTATTTATTATATCTATATTTATATTTGTTTTATTAAAAACAAGCTTAGATTTGTCCACCTGTCAGGTTTTAGACCATATGGGGCGTAGCAGGTGTATTTGGAAATAACTCAATATTTTAACCACACTTTGTTATTATTGTTCATTTATTCGTTTGCTGGAAATTAGAACTGAATTTAGAAAAAGTTTTGAAACAAATCTTTGCGCTTAACAAACAAAATTAATTATTTATAGTCTAATTGATGTCTGTGCGGTAAGGTTTCCCTATCCACGAGAGCCAAAGCGAAAGTGAACTTACTTTACGTCATGTTAATAGCAATGCGCTTATGGCGCAACGCAGCTGGCTCTTAAAGGTAATGGGAGATGAGACTCTGATTGGTTTATTTTCAAAACACACCTATAATTCATTAAGAAAGTAAACTTAACCTTTTTAAACTATGCACCACAGCGCAAAGCGGATTTTCCCATCCTTAAATTAGCAAAAATGCGTTCTGACACACCCTGAAAGCGTTTGCGCCCTGCGTTTTGCGCTCTGCGCATGGACCGTCAAAATAGAGCCCGTAATGTTAATGCAATGTTTTCCTTCAATACTGCCATTTTTTTTTCAACCGAAGAAAGATGGAAGTGAACATCTTGAATGACACACTCATCCTAAATCACAGGTGTCCAAACTCGGTTATGGAGGGCCGGTGTTCAGGAGAATTTAGTTCCAACCCTAATCAAACACACCTGAACAGATAATCAAGCACTAAAGCTGCGGTCACACTGGGCTTTTCCCCCCATAGACTTCCATTCATACGCAGGCGAATGCATTAGACAGGAAACGCAGGGTCATGTGTCAAGTTTTGCAGGTTGCTGTGGTGCAACGTTCAAGCTTGGTGAACTCTGACCTGCGAAATCGCATCACTTGACTGCGTGAGACCAATCAAGGGTCAAAACATGACATCTCTGGACAGAAATTTAAAACATGGAGCCATTGCTCGCTTTTTTAAATGTCTAATAAACTTGTTTAATCCCACCCCTTTTCACAGCGCCGCATGACAGAAATTCGCATTATCAAACTCTAGTGTGACCGCAGCTTTACTAGATATATTAGAAACTTCCTGGCAGGTGTGTTGAAGCAAGTTGGAGATAAACTCTCCAGGACACCGGCCCTCCAGGATGCCCTAAACCCCTGCCCTAAATGATTAGGAAATATTCATTCTGGAAGCAAACTAATCCTTTAACACAATTGTGTGGTCTCTCATCAGATTGCATCAGATTCATCTGTAAATTACACCGTTCATTATGTGATCAGTGGGCAAGGTGTCACTGAAGAACCCATAGGCCTGTTCCAGCTGGACCAGAAGACTGGGATGGTGAGAGTCACCGGTCCCGTCGATCGTGAAAAGAACCCAGAGTTCAATGTGAGTCAAAATGTTACAGGCTTTCAAGTGTTTTCGATTGTGATTATTGCGTCAGTGCTGAATGTTTTTATTTTTCTCTTGCTGTAGTTTATAGCTCGTGCGTTTGACCAAAACAACAGAGAGGTTGATCAATTCCTGCCCATCACTGTGATGGTGGAGGATGTGAATGACAATGCCCCTGAATTTACAGGCAATCGTTTCTTTACTGTGGAGGAACGGTGCAGGGCAGGTAAGAACTTTTTTTTTTACGTCAAGTCACCAACATCAGATAATAATAACAAGAAATCATTTTAGAAATTGTTTAATTGTATATGTATATTTTATTTAACCACTTAATCTCTGCGGACCCGGTACTGGGTCCGCGACGTCATCGACTTTTGCTTTAAGACTAGCAATGCACCAGAACCCCGTAAGTGGTTTCGTTTGAAAGTGTAGAATCTATATTTTATGCACATATGCATCACTTTGGTTTTTATTCTACTGTACAAAAGTTATTTAAACTTAAATACACAGTATTTTGGATACCCGAGCTAGGTATTTTACATTGGTTCATTTACATATTTTTCATATGACACATGTACAAGTTATAGCTCAAATGAAAGCTCTTACCGGTGCTCATACGGTTCTAGCATTCTTTTTACTGAATTATATTCACATATCAAACAGTTGTTGAATGAATCGCAGTGTTTCCATGGCGCAGAAGTGAAAACAATACATTTATGATCACTAAGCAGCCCTAGATAGCACAGACAGCTGTCATCTCTTACCTTATGCTGTGTGCTTCAGGGCATTCCATTCTGTATTTGAGGTGATGTGCATAAGTAATCCTTTTATATGTCTGACTTGGTCCAAACACAGTGAATTATGTTTGATCAAACAAAAAAATAGTGAATTATGAAAACAATGATCGGTCCCTGTGGCTTGTATAGCACCTCTCATCAGTTGGTATACAATAACTTTTGCATAGATTATGATAGAGACATTTTTCTTTTTTTCCTATGATTACAGACATGTGCAGGAACTAACAAAATTAATTACAGCATGCTAGACCACACAGTACCTAAAAGGTACACTTTCAAATTTGAGTTCATAAAAAAAAAAAAAAAAAAAATACAAAAAGCGCTTCTTTTTTTAGGTGTTTATTATAACAGAGACAACATATACAGTTATTTTAAAAACTTTCAATAGTGTTTTATGAAAATTCAAAGGGTTTTCTTTAAAATGATACAAAATTTTCGCATTTACACCTCTGCATATGGATTTGGGAAGCTTTTAAATTTGGGTAGGCAAAATCCAGGTGGAAATCTCAAAATAGCAGCAGAGTTTAGCTGGTTAAACTGTTTTTACTTGAATTTCTATAAGATAATTTTGTGATAATGAAGTAATATTTTTTTTTTCTTCACATTTGTTTGAGATTTATTAACAGACTTTGTGAGATTTACTAGATTCGACTAAGGTCTTGATTCATATCTAAAAAAATCTGATAATACTGAAACAAATCTGGATATGCTGACAGTGCTGACATATGCTGTATTTATTGAGCATGCTTGTTTATTTTTTTTTATATTTTCAGGTACTCGTGTAGGACAAGTGAACGCCACAGATAGAGATCAACCGAAAACCCCTCATTCCTTGATCAAATATATTCTTCTGAATGCCACCGACATGTTCTCCATTGATCAGTCGACTGGAATAATAACGGCTAAATCCAACACCCTAGACAGAGAGGTATTTATTTCTCTGTTCGGTATCTTTATTTCCCTGTTTGTCCTTTTGTCTACAATGCCTCTCTATGTTGTGTTTGTATATCTAGTTCAGTCTGGGAATAATATAAATGCTAACGTTTTTTTTATGTTCCTCCCTCTCAGGCTCAGGACAAAGTCTTTGTTGGCGTAGAGATCAGAGATATGGGCGGCGCTCCTAATGGGCTCTTCAATAGAGGAACTGCTGTGATCAGTCTCACGGATGTCAATGATAACCCTCCCACCTTTAAAGAGAAGTTGGTAGGGCTCTTTTATTGTCTATACTGTACATGCAGTATAACAAAACAAGCAAACTACTCAACAAATCAGGACTAATAATGCTCTATATAGCTGTCATTGTGAGACTTTTTTTGTTATATATTATACATTTTTTGTGCAGGTACATACAGATGGTAACAGTTCAATGACTTTCCTCTGCTGCAGTTCCATCTGCCGCTTGAAAAAGCTTATTTATTGTCTGTCTTAGTCCTATCACCCATCTCTCTATATTCATTTATTTTTTATTTGTCTATTTATTTATTTATTTATTTTTTCATTTGTTTATGCCTGTACTTTCATTTTAGTTGTCTTTTCTTTAGTTTTAATTTCCAAAATGAATCCTCTTTGCACTTAAAAAATTTACAATCCTAATAAAGCTTGTTAACAAGTTTTTAACGATTTATGAAGGAATTATAATGCTTTGATTCTGTATTTCATCTTCATTTACAAGTATCAGGGTATTTACAGCTACCATATATTTATATATGTGCGTTCGCATCCCGTCCCTTTGTGGCCCCTGGTGACATTGTCGCAAACTGCTATTACGATTAAAAACATTTTACTGATCCCTTTGTCCCACAGTGGCGTCACACGCGGCAGTAGTGTTTATTTTGAGCTGCACTCACTGTAACAAGATATTTATTTAACCTGATTCACAATGTTAAGCTTGTAGTAATTTTTTTTTTCTCATTTGAAAGGTATTGGTAGATTTTTAGCGCAATTTATTGTAATGTTTTTGTTTTTTCTCAATTAGTCAAAATGGTATTTTCTGGTGAAAACTCTTATTTGGGTCAATCTTTCAAAACTGAATTTCTGTCCAGTTTTCACAATGCACAACACTCGTAATGCTGTGTTCACACCAGCTGTGGAACACGCGGATAAATCACGCTAATCATGCGTAAATAGATGCGTGAACACTTTGAGTTTACTCGCTTCATTCGCGCGTTAAATTCACTAACAAAAACAGACATGGATTCACGTGATAGGCTGAGTTTCTGTCTGCCGGGTGACACTAGTTTCGTTGCTAAATTGCTAACATGTATTGTATTGAGACAATAACTGTGTTTATGTGCCTTATGAAGGCTGAAAAACAGCATCGATTTGCTTGGCGCCGTGTCTGAGTCCACTAGATCCTTTCAGAGGTGTACCCAGCTCTGTGAGCTCATAAACTCCTGCAGTAACTGAACCTGGATGATGGAGGCTTTCAGTGGTGCCTGACCCGAGCCCAGTTTGATGATCTGTTGTCGGTGTAGGCAGGAGGATTTTCCCCCGTGACACCAACAACAGCCGCCACGTCATAATCTCACCCCCACAAGAGCAAGCTCCTGATTGGTTAACACGGCTCAAATGTCCCCTGAAGTTCAGATTTTTGAACGGGAGCATTTCGTGCAAAACGCGATACACACAGTAATCACGCAAAACGCTCAACTCTCACCTGTTCATTAGCGCCACATCGTTTTCATTTGCGCGTATCGCACCGCAGGATGTCTGTTCGCATCTTTGCATTGACTAGACATGTAAAACACTCTCACTTGACGCTTCTTCCGTGTCTGGTGTGAACGCAGCATCAAGATGACCATTCTGCTAAGAGTTTTAAACAGAGAAGTTAAAGCTAAGAAATTTTAAACAGAGATGACGACAATGAGGGAAAATTTATGGACTCCAGATTTAGCACACCTGATAGAAAGTTTGCTATCAAACTTGCTAACAACACATTTGGTGTCAGCAATTTAGAGAATTAACCACTTTTGTGTTATTTATTTTTTAAACAGTACAAGGGCACAATCAAGGAGAACCTAGCAAATGTGCTCGTTACCAGAATCCCAGTGGAGGATAAGGACTTGGTGAACACTCCCAACTGGAAGGCGGTGTATGAGGTCACTAAAGGGAACGAGAATGGAAACTTCAGGATGGAAACAGACCCCAAAACCAACGAGGGGCTTCTATATGTCGTAAAGGTAAATATAGTTTAAAATCATTCAAATGAGTCTCTAGAGCAAAGTTGGCCCACTGTAGCCTTTGATTTGGCCCACCATCCCATCTGAGAAGAGAGAGAAAATGATGAAGAGGTGAATGCCTTTAAAAAAGATCGTCATTTCTAATTTGACGAAACCTTATTTTGTTTATTTGTTTTATTGCTGAGCTACAAAGAAGCATGTTTCAATTAAATGTTGTAAATGTATCCAATTTTAAAAAAAATGTAAATAATGTCACATGAAGGTTAGAGGAATATGCAGAAGACATCAGCGAGCAAATCAAGGCAAAAAAACTAGTGTAAATCCATTCTGTTATAAATGAGATTGTTTTTGTTTTTACTAAAATAAGTTCATTATAAAATGTTTAAAACATGCTGTATTAGTTCAAATAAAGCAATGTTTTCTAGTTATTTCTCATCAATATTAAATAAATTGGGAAATTACCAATGGCAACTATATTTAACTTTAGCCCACTAACCTCAGTCAAGTTTGGTTTTTGGCCTTTCATAAGAAAAAGTTTGGGTACCCTTGCTCTAGAGGAAGCTAGCATTTGGTGTTATCTGAAAATAAGTTTTTTTGGCAAGAAGTAAAGTGCAGATGTTCTTGATGAGTCTGTTTTTATGCAGAATTTGCACTTTCATGAAGGTCATAGTGATTATCTTGAGAGCTCTCGTTTGCTCTCTCACAGGGTTGTGTTGGTTTTATTTATAGCCGCGTTCCAGGGTTAGCTCACCATTTCAGAACTGTGCGTGAAAATGCTTGTCTGTTGGATATGTGTGTGCGGTGCTGCCACACCCTTTTATACAAAGCACACCCAGCTGGCAGGCAAACACAGGTTCTGCTCCTCAAGGTGAATTCATGAAAGCATAACTGTTGGAAGAGAAAATGCATGTATTTTGAAATGTGACATTAAGTAGTGGATGTCTTCACTGCACTTAGTTGCACCTATAGAGTACATTGATTACATCCTACTTTTATAGCAGTAGTGATTTAATAAGCTTTATGGAAAAAAGTGTTTTATGTTTTATATTGATTATTTTTCTGATTAGGGTTTTACTTTAACTTTTAATTTAAGTTTTAAACTGTTTAAACACTAGAACTGCTGAGGCAGTCATTTTGATCATCTTTCTGGGGCGAAGCAGTGGCGCAGTAGTTAGTGCAGTCGACTCACAGCAAGAAGATTGCTTGGGTCGCTGGTTCGAGCCTCGGCTCAGTTGGCGCTTGCTTGGGGAGTTTGCTTGTTCTCCCTGCGTTCGCATGGGTTTCCTCCGGTTTCCCCCACAGTCCAAAAACATGCGGTACAGGTGAATTGGGTTGGCTAAATTGTCCGTAGTGTATGAGTGTGTTTGTGAATGTGTGTGTGGAGGTTTGCCAGAGATGGGTTGCTGCTGGAAGGCATCTGCTGCGTAAAAACTTGCTGGATAAGTTAGCGGTTCATTCCGCTGTGCCAACCCCGGATTAATAAAGGGACTAAGCCAACAAGAAAATGAATGAATGAAAAAAATGAGCGTTTATACCTTGAATGGCCATGACGGTCCAATTTTAGCATTCGTTACTTTTCACATGCTTTTGAATATGTCTCTGTTGACCAGCAATGTTCTGCTAACAAAATCCTAAAATCCAAATCTGATGGCAGAAGCATACCTTTACTTCAGACATAACTTTCGAACTTAAAAAAACTATTTGCTGTGGTGAAAAAAACTTTGATTAGTAGTCGTTCCAGTGTTAATATGTGAACCAAACCAATCATTTACAGTTATGATTTACAATTTTGTGTCAGAGTAATTATATGTGTATATATACACAGTTGAAGTCAGAGTTATTAGCCCCCCTAAATTATTTTCCCCTTGATTTTTTTTCTGCCCATTTTCTGTTTAACGGTGAGAAGATTTTTTCAACACATTTCTAAACATAATAGTTTTAATAACTCATTTCTAATTACTGATTTATTTTATTTTTGCCATGATGACAGTAAATAATATTTTACTAGATATTTTTCAAGACACTTCTATACAGATTAAAGTGACATTTAAAGGCTTAACTAGGCAGGTTAGGGTAATTAGGCAAGTTATTGTATAATGATGGTTTGTGATCAATGACTGTCAGAAAAAAATATCTTAAAGGGGCTAATAATTTTGTCCTTAAAAGTTTTTATTTATTTATTATTATTATTATTATTTGCTAGAGTAAAAAAAAGTTTTATTTTAGCAAAAATCAATCAAATAAGACTTTATCCGGAAGAAAAAACATATTATCAGACATACTGTGAATTTCCTTGCTCTGTTAAACATCATTTGGAAATATATATATATATATATATATATATATATATATATATATATATATATATATATATATATATATATATATATATATATATATATAAAATCACACTTAGGATTAATATAATAACATTACGGGCAACATGATGGCTCAGTGGTTAGCACTGTCACCTCACAGTTAGAAGGTCGCTGGTTCGACTTCTGGCTGGGTCAGTTTCTGTGTGGAATTTGCATAATCTCCCCATGTTTGCGTGGGTTTCCTCCAGGAGCTCTGGATTCCATCAAAGTCCAAAGAAATGTGCTATAGGTGAATTGAATAAACTAAATTGGCCATGGTATATGTGTGTAAATGTGAAAGTGTATGGGTGTTTCCCAGTACTAGGATACAGCTGGAAGAGCACCCGCTGCCTAAAACATATGCTGGATAAATTGGCGGTTCATTCCGTTGTGGCGACCCCTGATGAATAAAGAAACTAAGCCAAAGGAAATCTAATGGCTGAATGAATAATAACATTACATTCAAAATATTATATGGATTTTATAAAAAATGTATATAGATTTTATATAGTTATATTATGTAAACTACTGCAACTTCCAAATAAACATATTATAATTTTTAAAAATTAAATATCAAATAGGGTGCCATGTTGTTAGACATTTTAGATGTTTATATTAATTTTTAAACAACACAATGGCCATGTTTTAATGGCAGAAATATAAATGCGTTTGTCACACTGTTCTCGAATGTTTGTTTAGTGCGTTCTTGTTCCGCTTCATGTCAGGGGGCTGATAAGCCTGTCTGGCTTTATTTTGTAATAGCATCTGTTTAGACGTACATTATAGCTTACTGTACATATAGATTTACTGTAGGAATATGGAAATCAGACAAAATTACGAACTTACAAGACAGATAAGAAAGATGAAGTGAAATGTTTAATAAGCCTAAACAAAATGTGTCAAAATGAAGCGTAAAACATGTTTAAAAAAAGACAAAATAAAAGATAATGGGTACAGCTTTTGGAAGCAATTTAAAAGGATGTTTTGTGTACAGCAGATGAGAATGTTCTCAGTGTTTTTCTTCTGCTCTGCTTCTAGGGATTGGATTTTGAGAAAACCCCAGTAATGAATCTGGAAGTAACTGCCCGTAATGAGGCTCCTCTGGTCGGAACGGATGCCAAATGGCAGTCGGTGCCACTCCAGCTCAATGTGGAAGATGTAGATGAAGGACCAGAGTTCAACCCTAACATTATGTATCTCAAAGTCAAGGAGAACCTTCCGAATGGGACCGTCATTGGAACCTATAAAGCTCTGGACCCAGAGACCAAGAACAGCAATGGAATAAAGTATGTTTCTTTGATGATATAGACGTTTTTTCATGTTTAACTAAACAATTGTTTTTAAAGTTCCACCATATGCATTCAAATAGGCTTGAATCTTTCTTATCTAGCTCTGACTAGCTCTTTTGAAAGAATGCGCTTCCATAGAATTGAATCAAAAAAACTTAAATGTACAGGCTTTTGAGGCTGATTAGTGGACTAAACATTTCCTGTAATGTTTCTAGAACAGTGGTTCTCAAGCTGTAGTATGTGTACCACTAGTGGTATGGGGGCTTACTTCTAGTGATATGCGGAGGAACCAAATATGACATATGTACATGCTACATATATATTTAAAAATGTATAAAAAATATTTATATATGAATATGATGACATATAGCCTATATTTCCAGGGGTTCATACTTTACATTTCAGTACAGGTGGGTTTTTTTTAAAGAACAGTAACCTATAATTTTTAACTTTTAAAAGCACATTTTATTTTAAATGTTAGCATTTTAATTTACTTATTTTTTATTAATTAATTTATTTTACATATAAGCAAAGTACAGGGTTAACATCCAAACAATTTATATTGTTTAAAGTGGCTGACAATAATATTCTTAATAATAGGAATTAATCTGCCTCATTTTTGAATTGTACAGAGCTGTAGCTGCTTTACTGGGTCTACTACACTACTGTATTTCAAAACTGCGGTGGTACTTGGAAAGACAATTGTTTTTTTCTGTGGTGTTACTTGATGAAAAAGGTTTGAGAACCACTGCTCTAGAACTTTTATTGCATCTAGTAGTTTAGGTTTGGGCAACATGGCCAAAAAATATAATGTGTAAAGTATTATCTCTATTTCTATTGAGGTTTAAAGGCAGATTTTTGCTCCTGAGTAAAAGTTGTAGTAATCCGATTGTTAATTTAATTTAATTACAGTAAGGTTCCAGTTAGTTCATTGGTTAATGAACTGTATTTTCTAACATGAGAATAAACAAAAGCATTATTAAAATTTGTAGTTGTGCTTATTAACTTTAAAGCACTGTAAGTTAACACAGACTAACATCGAATAACTGTATTTTTACAGTTATATATTAACAAAGTCCCTTCAAAGCATGTCATTTCACTCGGCGGCCATCTTTGAAACGCCTCTCAGGCAGTATGCTCAAGCATTCTGTTTGAATAGGGAAACATTAAATTCTCCAAAAATCCTTGCCAAGCTTACGATTACATTACATATTAAGAATCATCAATAAAATTAAAAAACAACTGTCTATTTAGAGTCATTTCTGAACATTTGAATCACACAAAATCTCCAGACACTGATGTAAGCCCCTCCCTGGAGAATCGTCAGTCTGTAACGATCGATGATTGGCTCATGTACTAGTGGGCGGGTCTTCATTCGCCACATTGACCGTTAGACTTTTCCACAAACTATACGATTGACATGTCTTGTGTATTCTATATTCTTTGGTATTAACTAATGTTAACAAAGAGAAATTAAATTAAATTAAGTTAAATTAAATTAAATTAAATTAAATTAAATTAAATTAAATTAAATTAAATTAAATTAAATTAAATTAAATTAAATTAAATTAAATTAAATTAAATTTTCCAGACCTACTGAACTCCCATGTATGTATATAGGCACCTGTAAAGCCCTATTTGTGTTTGTGAGCCGAACTGTACCTTTTTGTTTGTTTTTTTTTGTTACTTGTTTAACTGTTGTTGTCATTGAATCATCATTATTTTGCAAGGATGTTATTTTAGTTATTTATTATTATTTGTTTATATCTATATAAAAGCAAAAACTTAATAAAAAAAATATATACTAAACAAAGAGAAATAAGTACAGTAATATAAGATTTGTTCATAGTTTTTAAATTAGTAAATAACTACCTTATTGTAAAGTGTTAGCAGTATTTTAAACAAATTGTTATTGTCAAAACATGACAAAAACATTGCAGATTTCACAAATTTGATTTTAGGTACAATGTTAAAAATGATAAATGTTTTAAAATGTGCATTTAGACAGGTTTTAGTCATGTGACCATGAGGATGCTATGAAGATGTACATTTGGTACAATAAAATATGTGGTAAAATGTGTGGTATGACAATGTAATTACACATGACAAATCTTTATACCATATTTTGAGTGCACTTTCTTATTTTTTGTTTGTAAGGTACTATAAGTTGACTGACCCAGGCAATTGGATCACTGTGGTGGAGAGCACTGGAGAACTGAAAGTAGCCAATACTATAGACAGAGAATCCTCTTTGGTTCATAACGACACCTACAACATCACCATAAAAGCAGTGGATGAGAGTGAGTCTGATTTAATGTCTCGTAAGCAAATTCATCGTAATGATCCCTCGCATACCACACACCTACTATATGCAGCACTGAAATGTTTTGTGTATTTGCGAGCACACACTGTTCTCTTTTGTTCTGTGAATGTGTGTGTGTGTGTGTGTGTGTGTTTTCTCTGGCTGTTAATAAAAGACCATTCGATAGGGTGTGGTTGAGAGGGAATCACTTAAGGCAGATTTCATAAGGAGTTTGTGGTTTGATGTATCATGTCTTTCTGATGACGATCAACATGTACCTGATACTACATGTTCTCAATTCACTGAATGTCGTTAAATGGCATTCCAGAGCTGGAAATCGTCTGTCTCTCTTGAACTTTAACTCTTAAAGTGTGTATTGCTTGTCTCTAGATATCATCTGGTTGCTGTTTTCAGGGTATCCTCAGCGTCTTTATAAGTCTTAAAATGTCTTAAACCTCAAAAGCTAAATTTTAGGCCTTAAAAAGTCTAAAATCTACTAAAATGTTGTGTTGTAGGTCCTGAATCTTTTTAACAGGTCTTAATTTTCCTTTCTTTATGTATAACTGGCCATTAAACTGGCCATTAACTCCCATACAATCTCAATAAACCTTTTAACTTTTTAATTACTTTTCTAACAGTGACATTTGTTTTAAAGTTCTCTATTCATTTACTGCTGCGGATACTGATCTGACCTATATTTTTTATTATTAAATTATTTTTATTGTAGACTGAAGTAATAGGTTATTGTGTTTGTGTATGGGTATATTTAAAAACTACTTAAAATTATATAAACAAAAATTATTATTATTGTATTGTTAAATGTTTTTTTAATCAGTTTTTGATAGGGTAAGTGAAAATCTTTTTTAACTGGGATGTTCGGAAAAAAATCTTTAGCATTTAGCCCTGTGTAAGTCTGAAATTTCATTTATAATGGTCTTAAAGATGTCTCAAAAATTCTTACATTTAACTTTGTGAAACCTGCAGAAACCCTGCATTTTGTTTATATCGTTCACTGCTATAATGTTCATTTATGAAACATATAGTTGTAGTTACTATAGGTGGGTTTCCATCATCTTGAATGAATGCACATTTTGAAGAAGAGTAAGAGAAATTATAATGGGAGCGCTACATTTCAAGTTAAAAACTCTTAATTTGCCAAAAAATAAGTAAAATACACTTGCTTGAGGTGGTTTCAGACTTCTTTTTTTTTTACAACTTAGTTTTTATTGATTTTTTAGGAACATATAACCAGTGGGAACAAAACAAGCAAATAAAAAATAAATAAATAAAAAATACACATATACATAAATATACATACATACTTGTATAGGCAAATACATACATTCCGCACATGTATATCCATATACACACATGCATAAAAATATTAAATTAACCTCATCAAAATAAATAAATAAATAAGTATAAAATAAATTATAATAAAAGGTTGCCAAACATATTTTCACAATGATACATAACCTCTAGAATTATGTAAATGTTCAGTTATAAATAATTATATTGTCGTTGAGGAGAAAGCCAGCCATTTACTCCATTTCTGGTTTAATGCAAATTTCATGCGGAATTAAAAAGCATTTGTGGATAAACTCTGACTTAGCAAACATTACATGACTAATCAGATGTCTTGATTATTATAGCCTTGTTTACTATTGGTTACCAGGTTACCAATACTACAGTCAGCAGCTCTGTAGTACAACTTGATGGAAACACCACAGATTTGCATTTGGGATTTTTATCTTTATTGTGTATGTGTGAAAAGATTTGCTTCACATTAGACTCCCAGTAATTATAAAATCACACTGGTGAGATTTAAAGTTTGAAGTGTAGGCTGTGCAAATTATGAGACTGTATGTTCAGCCTGTTTTCTCATGAGGTTTTAGACAAATATATAAGTTCACCTGTTACATGAGACTCACTGAAATCTGTCTCTCCTCAGGCAAGAAGACTGGAAACGGTGTGGTGATTCTCCAGATTGAAGATGTGAACGACAACATACCTGTGATCCAGAGACCTGACCTGAACATGTGTAATAGGGGCGATGCAGTGAGCTCGGTTTTGGTTGAAGCTGTGGACCAGGACAAGCCACCGTACTCCACTCCCTTCATTTTTGAACTCGGAGCAGAGCAAGAAGGGAAGTGGAAACTGAAGGATATTACAGGTGAGGAAAGAGAGTAGTAATGTCATTTTTGCATGATTTATCAGTATAGAAGCAATGCTGGCAAAATTAGCTCATCAACAGATGAGGTTATTATTTGTTTCTTCATTATAGAGCTTTTTCAGGGCTGCTGCATGGAGGGCGCCATAGCGACCAGCGTCTTCTGGTAGAATGCTAAAAACTTCCGTGTACAGCGTGTACAACTGGTAATTTGCGCTCCGAAAATGGGTTTCAATGACGTTTTTAATGGATAACAGAGTGTTTATGTGACACACAACTTAAAAATGTGTCTGTTAAAGCCGT